ACTCAAGAAGGCGAAGAAGGAGACCGCACGCCTTCGTGAGTTCCGCTCGCAGCATAAGACACGCAAGTAAAAGGGAAAGCAACGAAGACAATGAGAGAAGGGGAAGCAAAGCAAAAGAAGAAAACAGGGAAGAAGGAAAAAAAAAAAAAAAAGAAAGAAATATGGAGGGGAAGGCCATTAATGACGTGTTTTCCTTCACTCTCAGTGTCGGCAGTCAAGTTAACCGTTTAAATCAGCAGGGGAAAAGGGGGGAAAAAGACAGGGAGGCTGTTGAAGTGGTGAGTCTACACTATGCATGGTGAACTAACGTTTTCCCCCCTTCCCCCTCCAACTAACTCCTTTAGGGCTTAAGGAGACCGTAGCATGCTGGAGAGGAATATTGCCTCTCAGGATCTTTTTTAAATATCCCTTTTCCATACTCACATACACACACATGCATGTAACATATGTCGATTAATTTTTTAAATGCTTTTTTTTCTTTTTTTTTTTTCTTTTTTTCTCCTTTATGTTCCTATGAATGAGGCGTAGACTATTCAAGCAACGTTCCACGAAACTGGGTGTAGGCGTGGGGGTTGTTCAAAAGAGGGAAAAAAAAAAAAAAAAGGATTGGTGCCGTTTCTTCTTCAGCGCATGGGCCTCTGGAGGGAAAAGAGAAACAAATCTGCTTAAGGGTGTCAAAGCAGAATAAGAGAAAGGAAAAGAGTAATAATATTTATTTATTTATTTGTTAAAAAAAACAAAAACAAAAACAAAACGGAACAGGAAAGGGAAGAGAAAATAACATTATCGTGCAGTTAAGTTGCAAAGTATTTAGTTATTTGATTCACTCATTGTTTTACTAGCTAAATGTATGGTAGTTCGGTGGCCCGCGGCTTCCGGCACGCCCATTGGCTGCTATACCGCATGAATTATTTTTTACGGAAACTTCTATTTGCTCTTGTTGTAGTTTTACTTCTTGTGATTGTTATTATCCTCCCACCTGCAAGCAGCACCTTACATGGGCGTTTGTTCCTTTATCATATGGAAGAATTGCGTCAAAAAGCAGGGGACAAAATGCCGGAAAAACTTTTTCTTGACGTGACGACTGCAACATGGGATGATGTCACTTGCGGCTTGGTGGAGGCCCCAGCTGGAGAGATTATGTGG